ATAAATGACAATATCGCTTATTGCGACACTCATGTAGCAAAATTGGCAAGTATTATGTGTCAAACACAAACTTCACAATCTTTTCTTGTTGCTTACTTAAACAAAATATTATTATAATGTCTTATTACTCCATAATTTAATAAAACTTTTTTTATCCAAAATAAATGGAAGGCACTCTGTTGAGAAGTAGCGAAGAAGACAGAATTCCTCAATAACGACAAAGAACAACGCGGTACCGTGCACCAAATCCGCCGCTACCAGAAAAATACGAACCTGTGTGTAATCCACGCAAAGTGTGTCATCATCATCCCAAAAGACCTCCAGCTCGTTGCTCGTATTATCAGCCTTCTACACTTAAGTGTAACTAAACCCAACATTTTTTGAAAAGAGTAAATTTAAAATTATGTATAACGTCCGTCCACCTCGCTGCCAGGCGTACGTATATTCAAAGTTGTTTTCGTGATATACAAACAATTCGTATATAATGCAAAGAAATTGCTTATAGGTACAAAAGTGGAGGCCATATACGTGCATATTTTAATTTAATTTTAAACGAGTTGATTTAACATCATATACGATTTAATCTGTAATAACAAATTCATTTTGAAAAGTCTTACGATGTAATCCGATTTAATTTGTGATACAGTACGATGGAAAAATGAGTCATCGCATATTGGTCGGAAATTTGCATTCTATACGATTTAACTTAAACATAATGCGAGGTATGCCATTCTTATATGCGATTTTGACTAAAACTGTAGCAATTTACGATACTGTCTGTACATTATTATACGACTTCTGGTTGTCTGGGACGTCATCACGCCCAACGCTCGTAGGTAGTCAAGAACCAAGAACCAAAACGTTTGGAAGCAAATGCCTTCAATAAATTTGCAGTACATCTACTGACTATCTACACACTAAGATTTTTTTTGCCGAGATGGGCACCACCGAGCAGCTCGGCATTTTATGTTGCTGGAAATTCAGCAAAAAATATGTTTGTTAGCTGAGATCTCGGCAAAATTCCCGTTTGTTAGCTGAATCTCGGCAAGTTTTTCACTGAGATCCAGCAAAATAAAATGCCGAGCTGCTCGGTGGTGCCCATCTCGGCGAAAATATCTAAGTGTGTACACTTAATCTAGCTCGGTAAAATCTCCAACAGCCGATTACCTAGGCATTTACTTTTGCTGACATCTCTGCAAAATATCTATTTGTTAACTGATATCTCAGCAAAATCTTATTTGTTAGCTGAGACTCGGCAATTGTTTTACTGAATCTCAGCAAAATAAATTGCAGAACTACTCGGCTGTTGGAATCTCGGCGAAAAAAATTAAGTGTGTACACACTTAGATTTTTTCGCCGAAATAGGCACCACCGAGCAGCGCGGCATTTTATTTTGCTGGATCTCAGTGAAAAACTTGCCGAGATTCAGCTAACAAACGGGAATTTTGCCGAGATCTCAGCTAACAAACGTATTTTTTGCTGAATTTCCAGCACAATAAAATACCGAGCTGCTCGGTGGTGCCCATCTCGGCAAAAAAAATCTAAGTGTGTATACTAGAGGAAATGGCTCGTTGGGCCCATCGCAAAAATCTGCTATTTATAAATTTTATCTAGATGAACGCATCGCATCATTGGGACGGTACTAATGGATATTTTTGGTTGCTATTGAAAATTCAGTCGATTGCTGAATTTATGTATGGGCCCAAATTAGGGGCATTTAGGCCGACATTACATCCATTTCCCCTATTTTATAGTCAGTTACTCCTGCCGGCAAAAAACAGAAGAAAACTTTCGACGAAGCGCATCACGGGAGAAATGAAAGTCGAAAACAGATGCAACTCTGTTGAATGTTTTCTGTCGTCCGCAAATCACGCCGTATGCTCCATAATTTGTGCGACGTCTTGGCATAAAGTTGTTACGAAGCGGTCGGGGTTGAACACTCAGGTCAATTTGCCTCAGGATAGCCTAGCAATCTGTCTGTCCTTCCTTGCAGGATATTGGTCACGGTTAGTGCTCTGCTTGTTTCTCTTCTAGTCCGGAGAAGTTCTAGGTCGATAAGTTAACAACGGCTTTCGTAACTGGGTAATCGAAACGGATCATTCCAAGGTAATCTACGCATCGCACCTACTCATTTGGGAACGTATTTTGATTGACTTAAAAAAGTAAGAGGTTGTATCTAAGACACGACCGTAGATTTGACGTAGGATTACATGCTCGGTATCAACATTCGGCGAATGTGTTAGGGAAACCACTTTTTCCCATCACGGAAACGCATTGTTTACTGATGATAAAATTATTTTCTGCACAAAGTGCACGGAATTTTTGGTTTATTGAATAGATAATAAAAAAAAGCGAAAATTTATTGAAGGAATTGCATGCTAAAATTTTCCATTAATGAGATATTCGCATTCAATAATAGAAATTCGAGTTTTTTTTGCTTTTTCCGAGGACAAGGTCATGTGGTATTCGGTCATTGTGAGAATTTGTATGTACCACTTCAATACTGTTACGCATTTGACCAAAAACTTTTTATTGCTGGATACATTATAAAAGAAATTCGGGGGTGATGTGGCTGGCAGCAAAGCAAGCGAACGTTCAATGAAAATTAACTCTTAAACAACAATAATTTATGGTGGTCCTGAAAAGAAGCGTTCAATCGTGATGGTTGAGTAATGCTGAGCTATTAGGATGTTCAACACGGATGAGGCTAGCGAGCTGTATGTTGTTTGCAACGAGGGTGACGTGCTTGGCATAGATGACCCACAGCGGCTCACGACGAGCAACTGAATCCAATCTGTACGGTGCGGCTTCTTCCTCCTTCTTCGGTGAATCGAGGGCTCTTGAGGGCAGCCTTGATAGCTAGCTGCTTGCGGGGAGCCTTTCGTTGTGTACTGGAAACAAGTGTACAACGCCACGCGCCGAAAGCACTGCTGCTGCTGCTGCTGCTGCTGCTGCTGATGATGATGACGACCGGGCACCACAACACACATTGAATAAACACCGTTCGGCGAAACCAAATGGAATTCAATTTTGTAATCTGTGTTAGGGAAAGCAGTGCAGCTGCTGATGACGACCATCCGGACACTAACACACACGGTGATTGAATAAGCACCGTTCGGCGAGACCGGATGGAATTCGATTTTGAAATATGTGTTACGGAAAGCGCTTTTTGTAACCAGAGCAACAGTTGGACATTTGTGTAATTTTCAATAGTGACCTATTTAAAATTGACAAAATGCTCATTTTAACAGATTCGTAGAAAAATTTCCAATCGATTGGCATGTTAAGTATTAAAATCCATCCGCTATGGACAGGGTTAGGGGCTGTTCATAAACTACGTAGACAGTTTAGGGGGGTTGACAATTATCCACGACCCATACACTCAGAACCGTTGATATTCATGCTCCAGCTCCTATAGCCATCGCAGCTGCCTTAATGGGTGTTGTTATGTGCACAGGAACATTTTTAGATGGAGGAAGGCCTTCACTTGGTCAAAATAGAATGATTTGTCAAAATTTATTATGTATTAACTTATTATCTGAAACCATTTCACAATTTCCTTCAAGATGGTTATCGATGACTGCATAAAAATCTCGCACTAACATTTTAAACTCTATTTTCTTCCATTAAATTTGTCGAACCTCTTAACGGAATCCCTTTATGAAGAGTGGTGTTGAGTACTTAGCACTGATGAAGACTGCAAGTAGTAGACGAAATACGCGTATCTGTCAAAAGATAAGCAATTATAACGGAATTTATAGGAAATAAACCAACCCACTCAAAGCTCTTCTATTTTCTTATTTATCACGCAAACATTTTAGTAATTTGACAGGTGTGTTTTTCACTGAACCGGTTAGTGATTTTGACTGAAATTCAATTACTTTTAAAATTTATCGTCAGTAATTATTAATTATTTACTGAACTACAGCATTCACTAGACAATTGAGATGCAATGTCATTTCTTACTTTACATAGTACATCGGTAAAGTAAATACAAGGTTTCAGCAATATACTCACACAAATTACCGAATACTTGTAGTTCTTTGACAGATGTATGAAGTAATTTTACCGATCATTCAGCAGATTTTTTTTTTCTAATCAAAACCGTAACAAAAATTACAGCGGTTCGCAGATACAACGTTATCAGTCCGTTATGGGTTAACTTTTCCCAAACGAATTGTCACATAAACTGCAAACGGCCAGTGCAGTACGAGTTCGCAACCAAATGAGCTCAAATTTTGGAAGAATGATCTGAACCTGATTTGGAATGGATTGAGTAGGGTGGAGCAAAATAGATATTAAACCCTACTAATGTACATACCAAATTTCAAATTTTAAAACCAGCTACATTGATTGCTGGAACAAGATCAGCTATCTCATGATTTGCTGAAAATCCCAAGTTATTTTACTGTGTAGATAGATTTTTTATAAATCAGCAAAGAGCTGAGCGGCGCCGGTGGTGTAGTGGTAAGCGTGATAACCTCTCACCCCGGCAGGCCTGGGTTCAATCCCAGTCAGCGCCGCCGGGATGTTTTGAGGCATAACTTCTCTGATCACGCCTTCCTTCGGAAGGGAAGTAAAGCAGTTGGTCCCCGGTTCATGAGTTGGTGGGACGATAGGTAGGGTCCAGGTGTGGGAGCTGCCTCCCTGGCGTCGGTAGCATTGGTGCTCAGCACGGAAAACAAGATCGACGGAAAACAAATCAAGGAAAAAAAAGACGTAGCATTTGAGGAGGGAGGAGGGGTTCCAGAAGTTATGACCGTTCTTGCATTAGGTATAGCCAAATACGGTTCGAGGAGAAGGAGAGTTCTTAAATTGGTAACAAAAATGCTACTTCATTAAAGGATGGTTCTTTATGTGCGTGGTATTAATTTTTGTTCACCCTTTATTATACGAATTATCTACATGACGGATTTCTCACAAAGTACTCAAAATTCTAAAAATTATTATAATATTTATTGATCATTTTAAGGATTTATTTATAATCGATATCACCAACTAATGAATATGTACGTAATATTATATAGGTACACAATTAACAAAGTAAAGCAAAAAATGCTTCTATCTGAATCAATGTAAAATCATGTGCTTAATCAATTTCCAGTTTTCGCAGTGACCCGCAAAGCTCATTGTTGTTATTGTTGTTGTTATTAGTTTTTCTCGATTCGTCGACTTTCCATCGTGTATCATCGGTGAAATAATCTCTGCAAAATACACACAAAAAAAATGGTTGAATCATTAAAATTTAAATAACAAACACATTTTCTTTTTTTTTCATTCTAAAATTACAATGGTTTTACCTGGGCAAAATCACCACCCTTCATACATACAAAATCTTATATTTTTGAAAACTGCACCTAAGTACCTTTCAACAATGATCCTAAGATGCAACGTTCCGAAAATGTTTTAGAAACATTCAATGACTACTAAGAAATTGATGAAAATATGCCGGCCGAAAAAATCCTCTCTTAGTTACAGGTTACAGGGATCGTCTGCATGCACGCGCACAGCTCAAAAAAGGTTGTGCAGTCTCTTGCACTCATTTTTGTCGAAATCATGAGACCAGCGAGAGCGCGCAATTAACCACTTCATTCGAGCACTTAAAATGACGTTTACTACCACTCGAACTTTTAAATAAAACATTATTTTGAGATTTTTTCTTCTAGAACCTCGAGAAAAGTAGCCAACATTTGTGCGTTTCATAAAAAAATAGAAATTAGTTGGTCCAGTTTTGTGAAATCCCTGGTAGAAAGTCACGCCAAAACTGCTTGACAAAGTGGTCAATTATAAACAGTTCCAAACCAATGAAAACAACAAGATGTTTTTAGATGTTAGTTCCATAGCATAGAACAATATTATACTTTACCCAAACATAATGTTTTTTTAAGTTTTTGAAAATCATCATATTCTGCATGAGCGCACATTTTTCATTAGCACAAGCTCATAGCTATAGTGCCTCGTTATATGCCTCTTTATTTTTAACGTTTTTACTCGCCTGTGCTTTGTGCTGTTCCCCATCCCTGCAAGAATTTGTCGTTGTTCCAAGTTTCAATTAATGTTTCAACCTGGTGCTGATAAACTAAGGAATTTAATTCTTAAAAACAAATTCTGCTATGGGTGCACGTCTTCTCCTGTAGCGGTGTTCATCTTGTATAAAAAGTTAAATTTTAAATCTATTTTTAAAATATCCTAAATTTAATACATTAATTTGAATCAATGCTAACTACACGGATAGAAATCTCCTTATACCTTTTGGCAAATTTCTATTGCTGATTATTCATGAAATGTATAAGTTAACTAATAAGCAGACGCATTGTAAAAAGTTAATAAAGATCATATTTCAAATGAAATGTATAAGCGGTCACACATACCTTTTATGCATTCATATAGGGCCTATGTGGTTTGTCTTATGTAATGTATAAGGCAGAGGCTTTGGCAAAAATGTATAAGTGTTGTTACATGGATAAAATAATTGATTTTCGTTTCGTGTAGGGTAGACAATGTTTGAATGTATAAGTTAAAATTATTACATCTAAAAATTATGTCAACCTTAGGGTGGCTGTCTTGCCCCGTCTACCCCTATATACCGTAAAGTGCCATAATTCTGTGCACTTAAAAGCTCACGCACATTGATCGTGGAGATTTTTAAAGCAAAAAGGATTGTAAATGACAGCCGCTGAAATCCTAATGACTTTTTTTTTCATTTAGGTATAAGGACCAAGGAATCTTTTTCGCACAATTTCATTCGGTACATGAGGCAATACACATACCACTTGCTTTAAACCTATTCTACCCGCGGGCCCCGGATACAGCAAATGTTCGTTACGAGTTAGGTAATATAGTAGTCGATTTGCCTTAGAACCGCTATGTGACGTAATTCTCATACATTGTGAAGTTAATTTACCTCAATAAGGCAATACGCTTGAACCATTCCGCTTTATGTTTAGCGATTACTTGCTTTCCACCGTACTCATCAGGCAGCGCGTCCTTTGGAACATGCTCGTAAAGCGTTTCCGAGTTAGGCAGGTGGAAGTGTAGCTAGATGGAGAAAATAGTTATGATTACAAAGTATCACAACGATAATGAATCAGCTGATCAACGTTATATGTTTCTACCTACCATGTTAGCCACTTGTTTCTTCATGAACGGCTTCACCAGATACATTACTCGGTCCAAGAAGGTAGTGCAATTGATCACATGTATCGCCTTTAGTCTCACTGGATGCGCTTCCTGTAAATGAGAGGGCAATTAACTTTGTTTGCATGACTCGGTATTATTTTCCGCGAGCGCTGCCATTATAAAGCAGATTTTATTGTCGAATCGTGAGCATGAAACTATATTTTTATCAGCTGACTGTGCGACTATTTTGTTTCTTAAATAATTACCTGCGTGAATTTCATGTACACTCTAAGTGTGGAGAGTATCACTTTAGTTAGATGCCTGAGCGTAAATCCAGTCATGTCGAAAATTGGGATATCACCTCCATTGTTCATCGGAATGTCAGACTGAATTAAACGGCTGTCGGCAATCAAGAAAAAAGTTCTGATGACGTCGTTGAAATGGAACTGTAAGGAATAAAAAATTGTAAATGATTAATCATAACTTTTTAGGGTTTTAATCACTGATTATAAACATAATCTGTAATAAACCAATTCTTTACACATTATGAAAGTAACGTAAATTGGCTGAATTACTGTTGCTACTAGGCAACAATTGATAGTTATGAGCCACGGTTTTGAGATTGGAAACAAGAAAAGTTTCGTTTCTGGGTTCTGATGCATGGTCAAATAGACCTATTTTGATTGGTGAGCAGACGCCCAAGCACGCTTCAAATGGTACGGTTCATCACAATTGAAAAAGGATTTTGTTGATTCTTATTTTAATTGATGAGAGTCTAGGTCATAGAACGCTTTGACTTACGCAGAACATCACAATTGAATTTGGCTTCTTGGGGGAAGAGCAAGTATGTATGATTTAACTGTATCGAAAACGAATACCTCTTTATTTTTCACAGTAATTAGGTACTACGACATGTATCAAACAAAGGACACGATCATATTACTTAAGCTCAATGTTATAATTAATTATATAACAATTATAATTAATTTGTGGGCGTTGGCCAGATTTGCATTTTTCAGATATAATCCTAAATGAGACCTAGATTACTTAATACTCTAGTAACCTCAACTCCGTGCTCTGTCACAGTGTTTCATTGTGATTAATCAGCATTAAAATATCAAATTTAGGGTGAATTTGAAAGAAAGGGAACTTGGAGTGTAGAGCGCACTGTCCACTGGACGATTCTGAAGCCTGGCCAAGTGAGTGAAGTATGGGTTTATTTGATTGAATGTCATTTCCAATTTATATATTGATACAAACCATTGGCATTTGGTTCAGAAATTTGTGGCATCGCGAGCGATAATTTTAATTTTAGTTTATTTACGCGGTGATGATGTTGGTTCACTCGCAACTATTTTTGAAAAAAAATACTTGTTTTCGAACGAAAGTGTACCAAAAGTGCTTCTGAACGTGTTTCGTAGTTGGGTGTGGTGAAATTCGTGCATTCCCGGTTGATTTTGGAGATCCGGATCATCAAATTGCCCACCGATTCCTTTTTTTTGCCGTTCGACGACGACGGGTGTGCTTTCGCGAGAGTGACGTTTATTTGATCCGTTTCTTTGCACGGGTGTGTTTTTTGTTGTAACTAGCGTAAGTGTGCCTGCGATTTGCATTGAGTGTCGGAGATTGTAAGTAATATGAAGGATGCCTCGCTGGATACGCCCAAGACTGGACGGGCAGTAGCTGGTGGCCGTGAACGGTTCCTGGGGAAAGCACTAGATGCGACCCTCCTCCCAGATGACCATGGCAATACAGGAAGTATTGGTATTGGAAGGTAATTGCTATTAGATATTTTGCAAACAGTGACAGATAGCATGACATGAAGAACCAGTGGAGGTGCCGGGCAAAGGTGTTTATCCTAGACAAATGGTAAGTTACAAATTCGCTGTTGTCGTTGTCGTAGGCGCCGTCGTAGTCGCTGTCGTAATCGCCGTCGTAGTCGTAGGCAGTACCGTTAGTATATTTAAAATTAACCACCAACCGCTGAAAATATGAATTATCGCGTATTTCTGTTGTTCATTACATACCAAGTAAAATTCGAGAACGTAATTTCATTTGAATAGCTTGTTCAACCAGGTCTTAAACAATCGTCACGTCGGTCATAGCTTGTTATGATTACCTGAACCATGCGTAAAGAGAAAATCGAAACATTTAACGTCGCGTGAAAATGGATCTTAAGGCCTCTTTCATAGCTTTTAGTTTAAGGATTTCAAAGATCGTCGGTTGCAGTGGCTTGCTTACTGAGCAGAAAAACGCGGTCCCAGATCCTTTCATATTAAAAATGTATGGTTAGATCACTTGTTTATGGTGTATTTCGTAAAACTTTTCGTTGTCGTCGGTGCCGGTTTTGAATAGTCATAAAAACTTGAGTAACGCTATAATGTGATATGAGGGGCTCGGTGGCCTTAGCACAACCGGCTTTGCTTACTGAGCAGAACATCATGAGTATAATCTCAAGCCCATCCACATTCAAGATTTGTCAATCGTTTTATTTGTTAACATGACTACATGATAATAACAGCAACTCGATGATTAAAAAGGAGCTCCCCGGAAAAAAAATAACCATAAAATAATATAAAATCACAACACAATCTATTGCCAACAATCGATCCTATTGTATGTATATCATACAAGTAAATTTAAAATATTGTTATTACAATAGATCTACAATACGTTCCATAGAGCATGAATTTTCAACAATAGAAAAACAATAAAATTAATGGTGAATGACTCAAGTTTATTCGGGAAAAAGTGATTTTCTGTACGGTTAAGATACATAACAACCCCCTTGTTCTATTGTAGATTTCCACATTTACCATAGATTCTATTGTGGAAATTATAAATTCTATGGTTGTTTTATCGTTGCTGACAATAAAATTTATTTTAAGTACAATAAATTCTATTGTATGGTTACAATACATTTCATTGTACCTGTATCGTACTTTTTTTTACGGGTCGTCTGCCTAGTGGCATACGTTTTTGCTTACTGAGCAGAAGACCGTGGGTTCAATCCCAAGCTCCTTCGCGTTATATGATTGTTAGGACATCAATTCAGCTTATCGTTTACCAAAACGAACCCTGCTGCAAACCCAACCCTATTACCCAATATCCCAGTGATTCCTCGTGGAAGTGCAGAGGTGTTCTCGGCTTCCATCAAAGCGAGTGTCACGTCAACACATTCCTACCCCTTCCCTTTCTTGACCTATGTTCGGGCGCGGCCGGCGCTGGTATTGCCTAGTTTGGGATCACCAGTTTTTACACATTGAGGATGATTGCTAGTCCCAAGCATCGTCTATTGGTTCTCTGTGTAATTACAGCTGGTCTGGCAATAACAGAGTAGCAACCGTGGGCGGTCAATCATGCTCATGCTCATGCTTATGTGTTTCATATAAACTTCGATTCAATCGGCTTTCACAATATGCATTGTCTCAGACATGCTTGGCATACACAGTTTTGGTCACGAACTGCTCATTTGCTAATAACTTTACACAGAATTGACGAAACAAAAGTTCTGTTTGAAGCAGTATATAGAATAGAGATTAAGCTTGTTATAGATACGTAAAACAAAGTAGATTTTAATTCTAGTAATAAACTGTATTTGCTTTTGCGTTGTAAAAATGAAGTGAGACATGCTCGCTGCACATCTCGGACTTTAAGAGTAAAAATTGATTGGTGTTGATTAAAATGTTAATATTCATCACCTTTTTGCATATCTATAGTAAGCTATGATACTTATCTATCAATTTCTTTAAAGAAAAACAAATTTCAACAACTGAGTGAACAGTTATTAACAAATGAGCAGTTGGTGTGTACAACTGTGTATGCCAAGCATGGTCTCAGATTTGTTCAGTAGATTTTACTCACCTTATCTGGATCACAATCTACCAAGCGATAGAATACGAATTTATCTTCACATCCTTCAATAGACGGTAAAGGCACCATGTCTCTGAAATAAGGAAAAAAAAATTTTTTTTAAATACACAAAATAATCTGTTTCATTCACATGCATTCGCATTAATAAGTTTTATAACAGAAGTGTTATACACAATGTTTTCCCTAAAAGATAAAAAAAGATATTTTAAAATTAGATTTTTATTAAAAGGATTAAAAAAGTAACGAACCAGCCACTGGCTGAAAGTCACTCTAATAAAATTAAGGGTTGTGTCCAAAGAGCACGACCGATTTAGAAAATTAACTCGAAAAAGAACAATTCATTAATATTTTTTTGAAATTAGGCGGTTGTTGAATAAATTCTAAAATTAAGATTATTTTTTTGAAATTAGAACAGTTCCTTTATTATTCATAATTAGGTTCCAAACGTATTCACTCAAAACAGCAAAAAAATTAATGTTGATATTACATCAAAGTGGATGCACTTCAATCGTGTCAAAAATATGGTGTAATATTACTTGCCAAAAAGGACAAAATTATCATTAATACATGTACTGAAATTACGCTGCTTTTACTGCATAAAAATTACATGAGATTTTCGACATGATTGAAGTGCGTCTTATTGGATGTAATATTAAAATTTATCTTTTGCTCTGAACTTTCGGAAACTTGCTAATGTTAGTCATGGCAAAAAAAAACTTTAGAAATCAAAGTGCACCTGACATCACAAATCTTTATGTTGCAGAACTATGACAGACAAGTGACTTTCAACTAAAACTTATTTAAGTAACTTAAATTCACCGGTGCTCAATAAAAATCTATAAATAAGCAAACGTAATTGAATAAATGGAATGTCAATTTGATTGTTTCATTGAAGCATACTTACTTACTTGATGGGCTACGAATCGCCAGGTTGATTCAACGCCGAACGAAGTACTCTTCTCCATTGGACTCGGTCCTGAGCCAATCGCTTCCAGTCGCCATGAACGTTTAGCGACCTGATGTCCTCCTCAACTGCAAATAGCCAACGTGTCCGAGGTCTACCCCGGAGTCGACGACCTCTACCGGGTTCTCTGCTGAATATAATATTTGCTTGTCGTTCTTCCGGCATCCGCACTACATGCCCAGCCCACCGTAGTCTGCCGTGTTTTATAAGCTTCACTATATCCGTACCGTTATACACTTGGTACAACACGTGATTCATGCGACGCCGCCAGATGCCATTCTCCTGTTTACCGCCGAGTATTGTTCGCAGCACCTTACGCTCGAAGACACCAAATGCTCTCCGGTCAGACTCTTTTAACGTCCACGATTCGTGGCCGTAGAGGGCTACCGGAAGTATCAGCGTCTTATACAGAGCGAATTTCGTTTTCGTTTGCAGGCTACGGGACTTCAGCTGGCTACGTAATCCGTAAAAGGCCCTGTTTGCAGCTGCAATACGTCTCTTCACCTCGCGGGTAACATCATTATCGCATGTCACTAGTGTTCCAAGATACACAAATTCTTCCACTACCTCAAATTGTTCACCATCTAACAACACTACACTACCAACACCACTATTGCTCCCACGCTGTCTACCGGCTACCATGTACTTCGTTTTGGTAGAACTTATCGTGAGCCCAATCCTCGCCGTCTCCCTCTTAAAAGGCACAAACGCCTCTTCCACTGCTCTACGGTCAATTCCGATGATATCGATGTCGTCCGCAAAGGCAAGGAGCATGTACGATCGTGTGATGATGGTACCGTTCCTCTGCACACCAGCTCTCCTAATCGCTCCTTCAAGAGCAATGTTGAACAGTAAGTTTGAAAGTGCATCACCCTGCTTCAATCCATCTAAGGTCACGAACGAGGTCGAAATCTCATCTGCAACCCTTACACTTGATTTCGATCCATCTAGCGTTGCGCGAATCAGTCTAATTAGTTTCGCCGGAAAACCATCTTCTAGCATAATCTGCCAAAGCTCATTTCTCTTCACTGAATCGTATGCTGCTTTGAAATCAATAAACAGATGGTGAGTCTGCAAGTTGTACTCCCGGAATTTATCAAGGATTTGACGCAGGGTAAACATTTGATCCGTCGTTGATCGGCCCTCACGAAAACCAGCCTGGTATTCACCGACGAAGGACTCCTCAATCGGTCTCAATCTGTTAAACAGAACGCGTGACAGTATTTTGTACGCCGAATTCAGAAGAGTTATTCCTCGATAATTGGCGCACTCGAGTCTGTGCCCTTTTTTGAATAATGGGCAAATGAGGCCATCCAACCAGCTAGCAGGCAGTTCTTCGTCCTCCCATATCTTCGTTAGAATACGGTGGATTGCTTGATGCAGCTGCTCACTTCCGTGTTTGAAAAGTTCGGCCGGGAGCTCGTCCTTCCCAGTAGCCTTATTGTTTTTCAGCTCACGTATTGCCTTTTTAACCTCGTCTAGCGTTGGAGGCTCCACAGCTTGATCGTCGTCTGCGATGTTTACTCTGTTCCTCGATACTCCCTCACTCTCTCCATTCAACAATGTCTCAAAATGTTCTTTCCACCTGGCAGCCACCATTGTTTTATCTGTCAGCAAATTCCCCTCAAGGTCATTGCACATGGCGGGAGATGGCGCTGTTTTACTCCGCACACCATTGACAGTCGCGTAGAACCTTCGCATATCGTTCTGTTCCATACTTTCTTGCGCCTCAGCAATCACGCGTTCTTCGTATTGCCTTTTCTTTCTGCGGTGGGTTCGTTTCTCAGCTGCCCTTGCTACCTTGTACCGCTCTCTGTTCAGCCGGGTACCAGACACTAACATCCGGCTTCTGGCAACGTTCTTCTCATCCGTCAACCTCTGGCACTCCTCATCAAACCAGCCATTACGTGGTCGTCTTTGAGCTGTACCTATCACTTCTTGTGCTGTTGTGTTCACCGCTCCGTGGATTGTGTTCCACAGATTGTTGAGGTCCTCGTTCACGTTGATTTCGCTAATCCGCTCATCAAGCTTCTGGCGGTACTCTGCAGCAACACCTTCTACTGACAAGCGATGGATATTGAAACGCATCGATCTCCGGTTCGTTGAATTCGTAACGGTCGATAGACGCGCCCGAATTTTGCAGACAACAAGATAATGATCTGAGTCAATGTTAGCCCCCTAAAAGTCCTTACATCAATGACATCTGAGAAGTGCCGGCCATCCACCAACATGTGATCGATCTGGGAGCAAATTTCGCCATTTGGGTGTCTCCAGGTGTGCTTTCGGATATTCTTGCGTGCAAAGTAGGTGCTACTGATGGCCATAACTCTAGCAGCGGCGAAGTTTATCAGTTTCAGGCCGTTATCATTGGTTACTGTATGTAGGCTCTCTGTACCAATGATTGGACGAAAGAAATCTTCCCTCCCGACCTGCGCATTTGCATCTCCGATTACAATCTTCACGTCGTGTTTTGGGCACTCATCATAAGTTTTATCGAGACTGTCATAAAACGCGTCCTTCACGTCATCGGATTTATCGTTGGTTGGCGCATAGATGTTGATCAGGCTGTAGTTGAAGAATTTGCCCCGAATCCTTAATACACAGATGCGGTCGCTTACCGGTCTCCACCGCATAACACGCTTCATCTGCTTCCCGATCACTATGAACCCTACTCCATGTTCTGCCCTATCGCCACCGCTGTGATAGATATGATACTTGAAGGAAGTGTTGGCGATGGGATCCACCGCCCGGAATTCACGTTCTCCGGATCTAGGCCACCGTACTTCCTGAATAGCAGCTACGCTCACATTCACTTTTTGCAGTTCACGAGCCAAAAGGCCCGCTCGTCCAGGTTCATTTAAGGTTCTGACATTCCAAGTACCGAGTTTCCATTCATTGTCCTTATTTCGTTGCCGGGTCGGTTGCCGAAAATTCCGTTCGTTGTTTTCTCTTTCTTCGTTTTTCTGAGTAATGTTGGGGGTTTCAGTATGCTACCTTACCGGGGTCGCGATACCTACATCATGTTGGTGGGGCTGCCACCTTAGGTGTAGCTGACGTGATACAGCATTTCTTATTCAGCCGCTCGCTTCGAGACAGACGCTGTTTGAGCCGCACCTCCATGGTGAACAGACGCTCGAGGGTCGCACCTCCTCACTTTGCTATCACCACGATCCGGATCCATGTTTTTATCGTGGTGACATTGCCCAGGCTACGCTACCAGCATCTTTTGCTGGCGGTCTTTGTCATCGGCTGACCCGTGGAAGCGTGAGGTAGGAACTTGTGAGGACCAGAGCTGTTGGGACAACACTCCTTCCAGTTTGTCGACTCACCATTTGAAGCATACTAAACACCAAATAGAATAGATGAAACCCCATATATACAACATATATATTAGTTCATAACTTTCATTATTCTTTGTTCTCTTTTCTTTCGAGAAAGATTGCATATATCGTGAGATAATCACCCATATTCTTGTTTTCGTTCGAACTAAAAAAAAAAGTTTTTTAATGGTTCGAACGGTACCAACGAAAACAAGTTTTGTGTAGTCACCATCTCCAAAGTAACGGGAAATAAAATGGAAGTTGAAGACAGGCGACTTAATTCCAGTTGGAACGTAATAATAAAATTGGGAATTAGTTGTATTCATCTGAACAACTTTTCCAAAGACAGCAATATTCTGATTCTGATCTGAGCTGTCCAGTACAGTATAGGTCTTATCCATCTGAATAACTTTACTAAAGACAGCAACCTCCTATCTAGTCGAAACACTGAAAATGAAACTAACTCAGAGAGTGAGTCACTTTTACTGATTCATATAGAGAAATTTCTAAAATCGTAGGTCACTCAGCGCATGTGTAATCTGCGCTTTTAAATATTTTTCCATAGCAATGAGTAAAAGTGACTCACTCTTTGAAAAAGATTCATTTTCAGTGAATGTAGAAAAGCCAGATTTTATGAATCAAATAACACTAGCGCTGTATGGTGAGTGAATTCTAAACTAAGAGGTCTTGTCCATCTGAATAATTTCACTGAATACAGAAACCTGCTATCTGGTCGGGCTGTCAAGTTAAAACATAGAATTTTATGCAAATTGCACACTGAGCTTGATC